GTCAAATCAAGCTGATTCAGTGCTATGACATGTAACCAGAAAAGAACGTCCCCCCTCCCTTCCGTGTCCACCGAGTCTATCTCGAAAAGCTGTTTCATCAGCACCCGCTCCAGCTTCTTGTAGTTCTTGTCGTCGGACAGCCCGCTGAAGCCGACCACCTGCGGCTCCATGCTCTTCACCTCCTTCTGGATCTCCTGCAGCCGGCTGATGTTGGGGTGCTGGTTGCCCATATCCATGCTCTGGTTGAGGTCAGTTTCACAAGCCCTGAAGGAGGACAAGAACGCAACTTAGCACACCAGTGTCCGCAGGAGGGTGACCACGGGTTAGTTCCTTCTAAAGTTCTCACTCTGGAGCTGTATTCAAAAGGGGTCGTCATCACTGCAGCCCGGAGAACAGCCATGCTCAAGTACAGAGAGCAGTCACTGGGCAGGCATGGCTTCGTGACTGAGCGTGGACCTATGAACCCGGAGGTCACGGTTATCGATTCCCACCCAGTCAGGGCACAGGCCCGGGTTCAGGCTTGATCCCCACTGGGGCATGCAGGAGGCAGCCGATCCAAGATTCTCTCTCCCCCTCTCCCGTCCTCTCCGAAATCAATACATATACATATGAAAGAAAGAAAAAGTCACCCCTCCCACACGGTTCAGTGGGTGAGCGGCCTATGAACCAGGAGGTCCCGGTCAGGGCACATGGCAAGCATCGACAATGAATGCACAAAGTGGAACAACAAACCAATGTTTCTCTCTCCCTTCCTCTCTCTACAATCAATAAGCCCTGGCCGGTTTGGCTCAGTGGGGACTGAAGGGTTCCAGGTTCGATTCCAGCCAAGGGCACATGCCTGGGTTGGCGGCTCAATCCTCAGTAGGGGCGTGCAGGAGGAAGCCGATCGATGATTCTTTCTCATCATTGATGTTTCTCTCTCTCTCTCTCTCTCTCTCTCTCTCCCCCTCTCCCTTCCTCTCTGAAATCAATTTTAAAAAAATATTAAAAAATTAGTAAGTCTTATTTTTAAAGATGCTTGATCTTAGGGAAAAGAAGTGACTAATGAACTCGTGCTCCTGAAAACAACCTAACCACCCCAATGGCCAGGAGCAGGCCGGCGCCTGGGGCGGGCAGGAGCTGGGCTCCGGCCGGATGGCAGGCTCCCCGGCTGCACAGGGCGCAGTGGCACCCCGTAAGTGTGGCACCAGCTGTCTGAACTCTCGCGTGGAGAGGGCACAGGCTCCCCGGCCCTCACCCTGGAAGCTGCTGTTGGCGCCAGCAGCTGGGCCTCCAGCAACAGGTCCACCCGAGCACCGCCCAGGATCCAGGCCCGAGTTTCCGGAAGAACTACCCCGAAGAGAAACAAACACCCCCCAGGCGGCACCAGGCACCCAGAGGCCCCACTTCCGGCCCTCTCGTCCCCCCTCCCAGCACCCCGCATCCCCTCCCCGAGGGGATGGGAGCTCCACAGCAAAAGGGAGGGAGCAGCAGGGTCCGGGCTCTGGAGGCCGGTACCTCCCGGGTGCCATCATGCCCTCGCCCCCCTCCCCCCGAATGTGACAGCAGTGACCTCCTCTGTCGCCAGCCTCCCTCAGGCCCAGGCCGGCGGGAGGCACGTTCTCAGGCCCCTGGGCCTCCGAAAAGCTGCTGGAGGATGGAGGATGGAGGATGGAATATCCCCGGAACCCGATCCCCGCGGGTCCGAGCCAGGAACCCGCCCCGGGCCTCGCTCTCCGCTCCCGGCCCCCCGGCGCGTTACCCAGAGAAGGTCTAG